GCTGCAAACTTCGTAGTTTGGTTCAGAATGAAACAAGCATAAAACAATAATGGTTTCCTGATAGTTACTTACTTATTTCATAATTTTGTATGACCGATTGAACTGAGTGACCATTAGAAGATGATCATGTTTAAGCACGATGTAAACATCACCGAACATCACATCTTTTGATGGTTTCGACCAAATTACTACCACTCCTGTTTTCTCTCCTCTCTTTTCTTCTTTTCTTCCAAACATTACTCTATCACTGTACTTTCAGACTCTTTTTTTTCTCGGACTGATATGCATATGTTCGATTCAAGTATGCAGTTCTGATATGGTTCTTTTTTCAAACTTTTCGTTAGACCATAATTTTTTTTAACACTCAATGATTCCAGTGACTCACCCTTTAGCAAGTCACTTTTGTTCATGAACAAAATGATAGAAACATTTGTAAACGCTCGATTGTTGGCAATAGTTTCGAAGACGGACCGTGATTCAACAACCCGATTTGTTCTGCGGTCTTCCAGTATCACCTGAAGAAAAGAAGCTATTTCAACTCTATGTAAGTCCCGCCCACCTCATGCGCAAATAACCTTCGATGTTTTCGTATCATTACCTGATCGTATTCGTTTGAAGCTACCATGAATAATATGCTAGTGATATCAGTGAAACATTGAAACCATTTTTGCCGCTGAGATCTTTGGCCACCGACGTCAATAAATCTGAATGATCAATATGTCGCAATGGTATGCTTGTTAAAGTCGACGGCTAATCTAGTCCTGCGTTGCCGACAACATTTGCGCGTAAAATTTAGCGATGCGCGGTAGGGCACGTACATAGGTACAATACTAGTTACAATTTTTGAGGTTTTACTTACTAAGGCTTGCAGTGTACAATCTGTGGGAGGAGCTGGGGGTGGAGTTTGCCATTTTTGATCTTTTTTCTCTCTTCCTATGCTTGGCAAGAGTTCAGAAAAAGCATTTCTGTGCAGATCTAACGTGCAAGTACAAGCAAGATATCGCAATTCTTTCCGCGAAATGTTGTCATCACCGCAATTGGACTATAACAGCCGTAAAATTTACCGGATTGTATGTTTACAAATTATAAAATCGGAAGGTCTAACCTAAAGGGAATTTTGTTGATTACAAATGTATGTTCACATATTCCTCGAGTTGCTTTTCGACAATACAAGATATCTTTGTTTGTAGGGTGAAAATTAGGCATGGAGATTCTGCTGAGATGATCAAAGAAATATTGGCAGGAGTCGCTCTGAACGACAAAATATAATATGGTAACCATTTAATTCAATAAACAGCTATGCTTACAATTTGAAACAAATTTCGCTTCTCGTAAGCTTGCTTAACTGCAGCATCGTCCCAGAAATCTTGGATCACAGGTGCAACATCAGCAAATGTCGTGTAGTCAATACCTTTCAAGAGATCAGCTACGGTAAATCTAAATAGTATCCGTGAACACTTCAATTTGATAAAGTAATTTACCTACTTCATAATTTTATCTACATTTTGCTGCCTTTCAGGCTTCTCCCATGGTATATTCAGCTTATTTCGAGCATCCAATAGTACTCTCATTGCTGATATCGCATTCTAAACAATGATATCATTAACCGTCTGTGATGAAAAAAGATTTCGGTCCTGTGAACAATCAAGTTAATTCTCCCAATTCTGTGAGGAAAAAAAATGCTAGCCCTGAGAAATTTTCCTAGGGAGTGTTTGTATCTATGCAAAGATTTCTCA